TCTTTCTCCTTCTAAATTTATCTTACTGAATTATACTTCTCGAATCATATCTTTGCTCCCTAATCTTTTCCATTGCTGCTAATAATTCTACTATCGTTATCATTCTTGGTTTTGAACTGACAGTTACGTCTCTGTGCTGATGTGGTATGGCAACCTGAACTGATGTACTTATGTACGAAGTTCTGCGTTTTATCTCTCTGTCTGCTTCTCACTTTTAATGTCTGTCTGCGTAGATGATTGCATGAAATAAACTCATCTAAACGGATCAATATATGGTTTCGTGTGAACACTGTCGTATAAACGGAGTAAGTTTAAGATGGAAAATTTATTCTCATAGCATATTTAATTGCAGTTAGATGAGATATAGAAAAATATATGTACATAATCTTAATGGAACAGCTAAAAGTGGATACAGATATTTAGTTTCTGTTGGCATCCATCTTATCAGGCCTCTATTAAAGTAGTAGCTATATTTACTCTTGAATTCGATGATCAGCTGAGTTTAGCTACATCGTCTGCACAACCGGTGACTTTCTGTTCACTAAATGATGAGTATGAACTAGACAATTTAAGCGTCAAATGGAAGCTTACATTAGAAAAATATAAATATACAACAATTCAGGTTTCACCCCGGAATCATGGAGAATTGCTAGAATACCATTAGAAACTTGGAAGCACTGGATGACCGTCTCGTCCTACCGTAGGATCCATCAGCAGTGCACATTCTTGACTCCCACTACTCGCAGTAGTCCGGCACAGGGCTTTCAATCTTGCGCGAAAACGCTTAACCTCTTGACCAATGAGCTGGCATCCAGCAGTATTATTGCCTAATTTCGATCATTCCACGGTCTTGCACAACGTCATCCACTGTCTTCACTAAGCACTGCTTCACACTCGAACAGATTCGAACTCTACTGGTCATGATTCCTCATTAGAAACTTCCGTGACGGAGCTAGTCACTAGCAAGCACATTGTGAAAATTCAAGTTTCTACTGATCATACAATTCAAAATAACTACTACTACTACTCTACTACTACTACTATTACTCACATTACTACTACTGTAGTGAAGGAGAACACAGGTGAGGGCAACCGAATTGTATTCAACGAAAATTATAGAGTTACTCAGTAAAATAGAAAAACCATATCGTAACCGTTAATTTGCAAATCTTCAATCCATTGTCTGACATTTCACTATTCATGCGTTTCATACAAATTCCATTGTGTTCCCACTCTTCTTCCTTTCTTGATCTTGCCCCATCTTCTGCTGTCAGACATTACGTTTACACTCGCGTCATATACTACTTATAAGTAGCGCGCACCACACTACTACTACTCACACTACTACTGCTGCTATTACTGCTACTACTACTACTACTACCATCGATTTCACACACGAACGCCTAATCTCCAGATTACTGATCTATGTAATTCGATTATACTTCATATAATAATCGCAAAACTTACCACCGTTCACACTACTCACCTCATCCATATGAAAGATATGTATTCAGATTCAATTTCATGATTAACACCATCTCTACCAAAGTGAAATGCTGATGACCATTAAACAAGCATGATTCACATCATATGGTAAACTTCATTTTCCTTTTCTTATGTGTTTTTTTTCTCTTGTAAAAGCAAAGAAAAATGTTTATTATTAATATTATTACTATTATCATTATTTCTGGTTCAGTTTTTTGTTTCTTGACAAGAATAAAATAGTTTACTTAAATATATTCGAAATAGTCATTCTCCAATGTGATGAATACCTATGACATGTGTATACACAACATGTTAATTGATGCATACTTCAGTCATTTATAAATATATATATATCTATATATATACATGTTGGTTTTAAAACGTGAAAAAAAATGAAATACCTTCTTCTTTTTTTACACTGAATTAAACGTTCACAAAAGAAATTACTCAGAATAATATGTGGAATTATGTATAGTTGTTTTATTGCAATTCGAATGAATGCAAAATGAATTTTTGTTGTTGTAAGGTGTGTAAATGGTGGATATTTTTTCTTTTCAGTCGATAGAAAAATCTAATTGAAACACACAAAAAAAATGATTTGTAGTTTGAGTGCAGATACAATCACTGGTGATATGTAGAAGCATACATAGCTGAGTTTTGCAGAGGAATGTTTTTATGTATCATTGAAAGTCAATCAAATCGGTAATTTTCATTACAGGGGTTATGGAAATTGTTGAGTTACTTTCAAGTTATGAATTGATCAATATTAGACCAATCACTATTAGAAACTTGGAAGTATTGGACGGCTGTTGAGTCCTGGTATGGGAATTATCGGCAGTGCGCATCTAGGACTCCTGTTCCATTCAGGAATCGAACCTAGGACCTACCTATATGTAAATAAATAGGATTATTTAAACCTCTAAAAGCTGTTCTTGAACCTACTTTATCCTTGATATTCTTGCTCACGGTGCTGCCGGGCTTTTGAGGAGCATTCTTTTGTGTTGTGAGAGATGATTTGACTAGTTGATAACAAAGCTAAGAATCGTTTTTCCTAAGGTTTTATTTGTAGATTTTGATTGTATATTTGTTGAGTATTTTCATTTAACTATTATGTTAGTTCTTAGTCATTATTTTAGCTCATATACTCAAACCAGTTAGTTGTGTACTCATTACTCTAATTTTCCTATTATTAATGTTGTTGTTCCTTGATCTTTTTATTGATCAATCAGCTTGAAAAGCGGTCTGGTTCTGTATGTATAGAAGTGAATATTTAATACACAATGATAAATTTTCGACCGATGAACATTGGAATTATGTTCTTCCTTTGCGTTCTGTCCTAGTTATTAGTACAAGGACTGACTGTCAAGTAAAGAGGAGCAGTTTCCTTTTCTTTCTCGTGTAGTGATTACTCAAAGGTCTCTCATAGATATTGATCGGTGTTAGGATATAACAAAATAAGTATTATTTTTCGAATCGGTTCAAAAATATGTTTACGTTTGCAATGGCGCTGGGGCATTTATTCTTTGTGTTCTCTCAAATCCTAATCTTCAGGATTCTTCAACCCCTCAAGTTTTGACTTTCTAAACTTTTCTCACTGAATCATACTTCTTGAATAATATCTTCTAATCCTAACCTCTCCGATTACTTTTAATACATTTACTACCTCTTCTACTATTGGATTTGAATTGACAATTATATCTCTGTGCTGATGTTGTATGGCAACATGAACTGTTGCACTTACGTACGAAGTTCTACGTTGCATCTGACTGACTGACTTAGGTAAAATATTACTCTTATGAAGTATTTACTACTGCAAGTATAGGTAAACAGATGGTGACAACAGGAGGAATTTTTAGAAGACCTAATCTCTAATCTAAATTGTCTGAATAGAACTTTGTGTATCACATGGAAACAATGCATCGCGACCAGAGTAACATTAAGTTTTGGTACGCTACTACTCTACTCAAGATTATATTTTCCACTTAAAAAAGATGTCACCCTGTTTTTAGAATTAGCGGTTTGTTTTAGAATTCTATTTACTGAGTCCGGAGTGAGTGTTGAAAAATACAACAATACAATCCGGCTACCTTTGAGAAATACATTAGAATTACGGGGTTGTGAAGATTGTTAAGTTACACATTTTTGAAACCATTAATCGATCAATGTTAGACCATCATTAGAAACCTGCAAGAAGCACTGGACGGCCGTTTCATCCTGGTATGGGACTTTTCAGCAGTACGCATCCACGACTCCTGCCTCCCGCAGAATTCGAACCCACACCAATACATGCCGAAGTTTCTACGGAAGTAGGACAAGAAACGCATCGACCTTCATCTTATATATTGCTCTTTCTCTCTCTGTATATAAATATATAAATGTACATATCGATTCTGATTTGTCATTCGTGTTTACATGTGACTTATAAATCTGAATACATCTTATTTAAAATAAACCATTGTCATAATTTCTGAAAATAAATTTAGAATCTTAGATCAGCATCTTGGTTAATATCATTGCTTGAGTTATTCTCCTTTTTAACTAACTTGCTAGATTTGAACTTTGTTAACATAAAATGATCCCAATGTCATTCGCATGATCTAATTTCGAAAGAACCTCCTCCTCCTCGGAACAAATTTTCCAGTTTTCTAATTCGATCAACACACAATGTATCATGATAGATTATTTGCCTATTAACTTAACTTATCAATACACACACACACACACACAATGTATGTTTCAGTAAATGAGTAACATCTCTGGCACCAATCACATGGGTGTGTGTGTACTCATTGTCATGAATGTAGTGCATGGAGAACATGGATGGATGGATACACAATGTATATTTGCATTGTCGCATACGTACAACAACAACAACAACAGCTACATTATAAACATGTACAAACTCAGTAGGAATAAGTAATCATCATTAGCGTTACTGTTATGTTTACATGCATGCATAATTTCTCATTCATGATGACCTGTAGTTGTCATAAGTTTTTTTTTTGGGTTGTTAATATTCAATAAAACTGTCAACTGTGCAGTTTTTAATTGTGAGTTGTACTTTTTTTTTTTTCTATCTCTTCGTTGCTTTACACAGTATGTGATTTAATTATTTTTAAATTTTTCGTTGCTCTCTCTCTCTCTCTCTCTTGCTATTTTCTCATGATGATTCAACCAGCATTGGAAGGGTGAATTGTGTTTTTCATTTTATTATTTACTAGTTTACATGAATGAATTTGAAATGAAAAAAAAAATGTACATTTTACCAATAGAAATGCGTCTACTACTACTACTACCACTACTACTACTGCTACTACGACTATCAGTGTATTGATCACGTGATGCCAAATTGGATATGAGCAAAAACGTATCAGATTGAGTGTAATGAGAGAAGACAGTTAATTCATTCTAATGGTGTGTTTTAGTGAACTTGAACTATTTAAATAAAAAATTCTTTTAGTTTAATTGACTCATTCGTTTTGAATGCTTGTTTGTATAGAGAAATAGTATTTAATAGTTAGTAGTGTTAGTAGTTAATAGTAGTAGTACTTACTGATAGTTGTTGTATTTTATTATCTACTTCAGCTGTGATTCAAAGTATTTTTTTGTTGCGAAATATATCATTAATAATTATAATAAATAAAAGCAATTATCATAAAAAAAGAAGACTTATTCACAAGAATTATTCATTATGGGGATTGATGAACGTTTTAATCAACAAGCTTTAAGAGAACATAATCGGTAAGTGAATATTGATATTGGATTTGATTACGATTCATTGTTTTAATTGTGAAACTTGCCCAAGTGCTAAGAAAAATTAAAGATATTCTCACTGAGTTTATATTCTTCACTATGCATAATAATTGTAAACACTTCTTATTAGGCAATGATGGTTTTAATGTTGTTTTGTAATGATTACGGTCTGTTTATCCACGTTTGACAGGAACTTTTGTTATCGTATATTATTTCTCTTATCACTACTAATAGTTCACTTGTCTTCCTACTATCATCAACTTGTACTTTTGCCTATTTTATGTGGAGTGACGTATTCTCTGTTTCGTTTCATTGTGATTATTGACTGGTTTAACATTGACGTGTAAATATTCATGTATATATTAGAGTGTAAAGTCTGATGACGATCTAATGTTCTTATTTTCCAAGCTTTGCCTAAAGTCTGTGCTAATTGTGTCTAGCTAAGCTAATGAACTCTTGACAGCCAAATGCAATTAACCATTTGTTGTACAATAAATAGTTTGTATTGATAATTTTCAGTATGAAGTTATCAATCAGTAAATTGATTTATACACATTTGAAATCATCAATCATTGTTACTAGACCACTATTAGAAACTTGAAAGCACTGAAAGACGGTCCTTTCGTCCTGGTATGGGACTGCTCATCAGCAGTGCGCATCCACTAATCTCCATAACTCCAACTGAAAAATTAGTTTATGACTACTATTCAGATAGAATACACAACCTACTGGTTGGTTATTCCATTCAGATAAATTATGATTACGCAGTTATTGATAATGAAATAAGTTTAAAAACGTTAATATCAAGAGGTATGTTTATATCAGAGAACATCTTAACAATGAGAAATGTGTTGTATTTGCTCTGTACATATTTCGAACAATCTGGTCACACACATAGTCACACACACTTGTCAAGGCATTTTATATGAAGATTAATGAACAAGGTCAACATTAAATAAACCTTGATATTTGTACAGGAAGGAGAGAGAAAATTAGCGTAATATGGAAAGTGTTGTAGGAAAGGGTAGGAAATTGTTACAATTCAAGGTTATAACAAACTGTTTCTGCACAAACAAGGGGGGACTTTAATTTACGAATAGTTGAGGCTTCCATGAACCTCATTATTCGCCCTTGAATGTTTCTTTACAATGTTTGAAAGATTGTCTCGATGTCAATCTTATGCCCCGTTTTAGTTATGTGTTTTGCGAACAATCTTTTTAGACCTATGTTTATGATCCTAGTTTATCAATGACTCACTGGAATAAATCCTGCTGTTTAAATATATCCAGCAAAGTGGATAAGTGCCTTACTTACCTATTTATTAAATGGAGCATAGGTCACCGACCAGCGAATTATTTTTGCTGGTTAGCGATTTTTTTAGCGAGTTGGATTTCTACGGGATAAGGTCACTGATCCTATGCCCAAAACTCCTCTTTTATCTGATCGTGGAACAAACAGTAAAGCTAGAAGGGTTCCAGGCGAAGTTGTCAAGCCAAAAAATAATTTGACGGTCATTGAAACTGAAGATAATTGGAAACTGCTTCCATCGACTCTTAAATTGTATCTAATTCCCAGTTATTGCTGAGTTTTTTTGTACCCCCTTAATTTTCATAAAAACAATCGGAATCATCAATGAAATATTTATATATTAAATTTATTTTCAATTTGATTTTAATTATTTTATTAAACATTACAATTTGCGCCAGAATCAAATATAAACAGTTAAAATTTTCATGACTAATCAAATGTTTGCTTAAATTCGGCAACCGAACGTCACATTTCTACACCTAAACTAATAGTGTACAAACGCAACACCAAATCGTACATTGAAAAGAAAATTATCTGATATTGTTTAGTTATGTAATCACTAAATCCTATCGTTTCATAAATTCATGTTCGTTTGGAGTGAATTTTTCCTACTGCCTGAATATTGTCCGAGTGAACTGATAAAAATCCAATCCACATTGAGATATCTGTAACAGAACTGGTTTTATCGAGTAATAATCTAAGAGTTTGGAAAGGGTGACAAATTAATCGGTTTTATCGATGATAATATCGTTGGCGCGCTCGCAATGATGATGAAGCATTTGTTCAGGGTACTTCGGTTTTTTTCAATCGATTTCTCATGTTAGGCTTAATCGTACTTTTCAGGAAAAAAGCACAAGGAGCTCGTTTATATGAGACAATAACAACAAAGTGATGTACGAGTATTTTATAAATTATAAAGGCTAAACTATATTTTTTTGCTAGTATTTTTTCTCAATGTGCATCTACGTAAAATTGAACAGTTTTTCAATAATATGATCTGTGGTTCTATAGTTTAAAACCGTTAGCCGGTGAAAAATAGATCATAAATGTTAGATTTTTAGCTGAGATCTTCGCAATGCTCGAAACTAATATCATTCGAATTAATGATTGTTCAACTAAACTAAAATTCTAGTGAGATGATTTATGGCTAGCGAATAATTATTTCAGATCTATACAATATTTCAGAGTTTTCAATAATTGTCTAATTTAGGTTGGTTTTGCCGATTTTAATGATATACAGAAACGTTAGCAATGATCTGTGTACATATCTAAGCAGCAACTCCGAGGTAATTCATCCAGTCGTTGAAGCGACTATTTAATCACTCTCAGCGTATAGATTCGAGCTCAACACTGTCCTACGTAGTTCCGGTGGCCAAGTATCATCCCACAAACTGTCTCATAAAGCTGAACACAATAATTTTTCACAGTAAATCGATTATATCATTTTTCTCATCACTTTGAAGAATGCGATTTTGTTGTACTGTGTTAACATTAGTAAGCTGATGTATTCAATCCACACTAACATAGTTTAAACACCCTTATTCAAATGAATTTTAACAGGATTGTTTCATATATCAAAAATTTATATATCAGTGTATATTTAATAACTACCAGGTTTTCTTTCTCCTCGAATTAATTATAAAACATTACTATTTCCATTCATCACACAGGCTTCGTTCTCTTCATGGATGTGGCGAATTACAGTTGGATGATGAATTAATGATTTCAGCGCAAAAATGGGCTGAAAATTTAGCTGATGCTGAAAAATTATATCATAGTAATCATAATGAATATGGAGAAAATTTAGCTTTCAAAATGTCCGCACCACCATGTCAGATAACAGGTAATAATAGTGTTTTGTATATATGTGGATTGTCGTTTCTTAATTACCAAGTTGAAATTCTTAATAATTTAGAGATTGCCAAAATACAAACACTTGATTATCAAAGATTTTATTTGAAAATTCATTTTAGAGATTAAGTAAACAACTGTCATTTAAGTAGTTTACTAGAAACTGAGAAATATGTTATATGTTGAGATTTACCAGAATTATGCGATACGTAATACAATCATTACTGTCAATTCGGAATATCTATTTGATAGTGGATCTTGTTGAGAACCGTTGATCCTAGATGAGGATGTTTAGAAGTGCTCATCTTCCATATCTTTAGACTTCACAATAAGCATAATGCCTTCAGTGTTCTGATTCGAGTTATCTGAAGTTGTCTGCGTATCCCAAATAAACCAATTTTTGATAAAGCACATCACTTAATGTTATCAGGGATTTTTGTCTCCTTCCGAATAGTATAAAAGTTCTCATCATCGAGTACGAATCTGTAAAAATAAAACTTAACTCTGAACTGAACTAATGTGTACAAGCCAATCGAATGAATCATTTTTACAAAGAAGAGATGACTAGATGGCTAGTAGCAGGATCAAGAACAGGACTCATCAGCTAAATGTTGATGTCTACATCGAGGTTTGAACTCAGTACGTTCAGCTTCAAACACCAGTTGCGCAAAGGAAATCTGATCAGTTTTAGTTGGCATTTGGCATTTCATCAAACTTAAACTGATATTCACAACAGTATTTAACAGTTGCATACAATTTTTAAAATGTAACTAACTAACTAGATTATGCATGTACTGAGTTGTTTGTAAAAAAAAGCAAATAATTAGAAATAATAATTTTATCCTGCTATTTTTATGTGAGTGAACTATTCGTCAAAATGTTTAATTGACAAGATTTTCAAAAAAACACAAAAAAAGAAAGCCTTAATGTGATCTAAATCGTTTGATGTGAATGAAATTCATTCAAACAAAACTAATCACATACATTCAAAATTCAATTCAAGTTTTTATTGGTCAATATTGAGAACAGTTGTACATGTTTGGAAGAAAATAGTTTTAATTCATCTGATGTTGACCTCAAATCAATGACATTACATGAAATAATTATAAATGAATCATACTTTAATAATAATAATAATAATAATAATAGTCATGTTGTATATATATTAAAATAAAACTTACTAAATATAACTCAACGTAATATGATGATGATTGATCAAATGTTTCACAATGAAAATTCTAATTTTGTAAACTGTGATTATTACGTTTCATTATTGACACTTTTTAAGTACACATGATTTAAGATTGTCTTATTGAAATATGATGTAAAAGTGAATCCAATTAGTTTTACTGCTTAAATATTACTTGAATTGTTTGATTAGTATTTGATATACATTTGAAAGGTATGAGCTTAGAAAATTATAATAAGAATGATGTAAATATGGTCAAGATAAAACGTTTCGATTGATGCTGACGATGAACTGTTTAGAACTTGATTGGATTGAATAGAAGTTCAACCGAACCTTTAGGGATTAGAACGATTGGAATTTAGGTGCAAAGAAGACTAGTATGTTATTCGAGTGGCTATGACAATCTGAAAGAAGTCTTGAATCGAAGTTTTTTGCCAGTGACGACTCACCTGATGGGAACAGATAGTTGTTTATCGTTGATCAATGTGAAACTTAAAAGTCGGTCTACTTTCTAACCGTTTCTGGTCACCTAATATTAATATTGTGTTTTTAATAGATATAAAGGTCTTCGCTCACTAATAATCTACCTATTAAAACAATTATATATTAGTTAAAAGTTATGGCCAGGAAGGATTTGATTTTGACCAATTTGGTCTCGTGTGCTATTATGGGTGTGAGGGTGGTTGTCACTTCCCGGCTGCCCACACCATGGAAGGTTGTTTCTTGAGGGACCTGAAAAGGAAGATAGATTAGTGTTGGTCTTAGTGACCGCAGAGCCCAAGGGACAACTGCTTGGGACCGGTCACGCACGGCCTTTTTATGAAACGTTTTTTGAATATTAGCTCCGCACTTGAAAGCCCTTAGTGGGCACCCTTACCGCCGGAGACGGAAATCCGTGAGGTAGGGTGAGGTGTGACATTTCTAGGGTCGACCTTTTCTAACCCTTCTTTCCTTGTGAGAAGGCAGCATCGCTGCAGATGCTGGTTGTCTGAGGGAAACACCTTACTGCTATCACACCCCTCTACAGTCAGCAGTACGACTTCGCCCTCAGACCTAGAGTAGCTGCTTTTACTCTCATCGTTCTCCAATCGACCTGCCTGACATGGTAGAACCTTCAGGAACATATGTTCCAGCCAATATAGCTCGGTTGGGTCATCACGATAGGCGGTGACATATGAATATTGTTTGAAGGTTTGAAATTTTCAAAACGATCCTGGAGTAAGCATCAGCAATTTACTACTGTTGTGTTCAGCTGAACAGTTTCGAACAGAAATAAGTTCATAACTTAGATTTCAGTGTAGACTATTTTAGACAAAAATAAAATAAACTTAAAATTAAAAGCAACATTGAGGCATCCACTCAAGAAGTCGAAATGTCAACACGGTATGAACAGATTGGGTCTTGATTGTCTATTAACTGCAAAATATGATCACTCATGAAAATAAAATGTACGTATTGAAACAGAAATAGACTGATATCTGCTAGAGAACAACTGGAAACTGAATAGGACTGAACTCATGCCATGTCAAGTTACCACGTTCCACTTAGCATCGAGAGATGAAATTTTCTGGCGGAAGGAATACCAGAATAGTAGAGGTAGTAATAGTATTAGCAGTAATGAAAAAGATTGACGATCTGGGGAAAGATTGAAAAGGATGTAAATTATTGACAAAACGAAAACAATCATAAGTATTCAGAAACTTGTATTTTTGAGGAAGACAAAGAATGAATGCAACTGAGCGAATGCAAACGATGTTTAGCCGTGTTATTCAGTCTCTAACCGTTGGTTATGATTATCAAACGGACCCCAATCATGTTATCAAAACCTAGCAACATAGCTAATTCAAACTGTCGATGACTTCATGGGCTGATGCCAAGTTTTGGTTTGGTCATCCTTAGCTTTTTCCCTGCGTAGTTCTAAACCAGACAGCATCGCTCGCCTTTCGTCTGAGTTGGTGCAGACTGACTGCCTTATCAATCGATTTTCCGTTTTCCCCCAGTACACTATTCCTAGCCCACACATTGCCCAATCGGTAATTAAAAAAATACCTGAGCAACGCGTCGAAGGAACTTCTGATCGAATATTAATAACCTACGATTACCTTGTATTCTTATTGACCATGTTTCACACGCGCGTTGTAAAAGCATCCTTAGGTTGGCAGACGAATATCTCTACAAAGCCGCAGGTGGCGCAAGTTGACAAAAGCCAGACAACTATTCTGCAACCGCGTTGAAATTTTATCAGACACCAGACCATCACGATCGATGAGAATCCTAAGATAAGTAAAGTGCTCTATACGTTTAACTACTTCACTCTTTACCACTAGTTCAAGCGCCGACTCAGACCGATTCCCACGCAGAAGTTTGTATCATAAATCATAAATCAAATATGCTAGTATTGTTAATCAAGGTGGTCAGAGGACTCTTAATTTTGTCAGCCTATTCACTATGTCATCTTCATATTCTGAGCCAACAAGCGAGTCTCCTGGTAAAAGGTGAACGACGGAAAAGTCAGATGAAGTTAATGTTATCTCTGAGAGCATATCTATGACAAAAGTTAATAAGAATAGAGGAAGCGAACAACCTTGACGAACACCATTTTAAGTAAAAAATCCCAATGTCAGTTCCCCATAAACTTTGATTCAACCAGTATTGTTCGAATAAAGAATCTGTACAAAGTTGAGATACTTTTCCGTACGGCTTTTAATGTCCCAGAACTTATAGAAGTGTGAATATTTAGTCTGTTTATCCACATTCAGGTCTGAAACCTGGGTCGATCGAGATTAATCTTCAAAAACTCTAGTTAAGTGTATGATATGTTTTTGGAATTATGAGATATATTTTATAACTATTAATTATTGTTTTAGAACTAAATATGTAGAACATTCAGTAACCTATTTCATACTATTACCATTTATTTTTCATTGTAATTCTATAGGTGAAGAGGTTTCACAGACATGGTATAGTGAGATTGACTATCACGACTTCACCCAATGTTACCATCCGAATTCACGTAAGTTGAAGTGATCATCATTTGTACATAAGTGCGAAAATTAACAAATATTATTTTTTTTCATCACAGAGTTGTGAATATTGTTGAGTTTCATTAAAGTCCTGAATTAATCAGTGTTAGACCATCATTAGTAACCTGGAAGCACTGCAAGGTTGTTTCTTTCAAGTATGGATATCATTAACAGTGCTCATCCACGACCTCGCAAACGAGCGTCAAACCCAGGATCTTAGGTCTCGCTCATGAACACATAATCTCATAACTACTCAACCCATATCCAGTTCTCTTAAGGTTTAACTCATTGCAAATAATATATGAAGTTTAAACTGACAAAAGATACAAACAGTATGCATCTCTTTAATCCCTTAGGGTGGTTATTTGACTGTACTTATCTAACTGTAATTAGGTTACTTGTATTGTAGTGAATGAGAACACAGGTGGGGCAACCGAATTGTATTTAACGAAAATTACAGAGTTACTCAGTAAAATTGGAAAACCATATCGTAAATTGTTCATTTGCAAAAGATCAGTTCATCCTATGGAACTGGACTGTTCCTGTTGCTAAACATCAATCCATTGTGACTATTCATGCGTTTCATACAAATTCCATTGTTTTCTAACTCTTCCTTTCTTGATCTTCCCCCCATATTATGCTACCAGACTTTACGTTGACACTCACGTTATATACTACTTACAAGTAGCTCGCACCACAGCACCACAGTATTAGCAAGAAAACACATGAGGATTCATTTTAAACGCTTCAAATCTATTGACTCAACCAACTGTCAAAATAAATCCCATGCTAATTTTCAATTTTATAGGTCATTTTACTCAAATGATTTGGAAATCCACTACACATGTTGGATTTGGCTTAGCTTTTAGTCGTGATAAAACAAAGGCATATGTAGTTGGACGTTATCTGCCAGTGGGTAACCAAGGTGATTTTGGATGGAATGTACCTCATTATCAAGGAGTTAGACGATGTGGTAAGTTGTAGGTCAACTTTTAATATAATTCCAAATAAATTTAAAATTGAAAAGAGGTAACGACCATGTATACCAGAGTTTTCATCACCCCACCTGAATTGTCATTTCACTGTTTTAACATGGATAATGATTAAAAGCAAGGAAGTTGTCCAAATAATACGCACTAATGATATAACATGAAAAGTTATATGTGTTTTACAATTCTATAAGTTATCTGTTGTATCTGTTAGGCAAATATTGGTCTAATATATATCATTCCAACTGATAAGGAATACTGTCGAATTATAAAACTGTACGATATCAAATAAGTGTATCATCATTTAATTCAACTTTCAAAATATAGAAAAAGATTAGTCTTTAAAACAAACTTATTTACTCTTTTCAAGAAGAGTTGAGTAGTTGCTAGTAATGAGATCCATAATACACATTTCTTTGAATTGAGTATCACTGGATTCTGGTCAGGGTGTAATCATCAACACTTGAATGTAGGCTATCAAGCTGACGAGTAACGAAGTCACGAGCAATCTACCCTGTTACTCATTAACTGACAGTGCTTATCTATATTTGCGAGTGATAGCCGAATTGGGGTCATCGAGGCCGCATAGGATGCACATATTTTGCATAGCGACTGACCAACTACAGTCCTGAACGATAACATAAGAAAAACCGAAATTTTTACTACTAAACTATAATCACCTCTTTTGTTTACTAATGTATATCGATATTGTTGTTTTCATGTTCTTTTTTGCACTATGATTTACTTTTCACAGGAGACAATGAAAGTAAATATATTTTATTACTATTATTTTCTAATTTACTATTTAATTTTATTACATCATAAATCCATTTGAATAAATTCATTGTTTGGATTTGATTTAATGTTATTTGTGTGTGTTATTCAATAAGTCATTGAATATAATTGTGATTATCTAAATTTGAAAGTGTCCTGATACACATACTACTACTAATACTACTACTACTACTACTACTACTACTACTACTACTACTACTACAATAATAGATGATAAAGGAACTTTTCATAACAGAGTTATCAAGATTGTTATTTTACATTGAAATGTTGAATCAGTTATTGTTTGATCACTCTGTTAGAAACGTGGAAGTACTGCATAGCCTTTACGTCCTAGTATGAGACTTATCAGCAATACGCATCCACGGACCCCCTGGTCCCATGGATCGAAACCAGGATTTTCACTTTCGTGTGCAAACGCATAACCTCTAGATATCTGGGTGACAGAATCTAGCAGTGTTAATGTCGTGCACGTGGACTACTCATGAGTCCCATACTAAGACAAAAAGGCCGTTCAGTACTTCCGGGTTTCTAATGGTGTTCTAACAATGATTGATTTTTGGAAAAACACATTCTCTTTAATGACTTCTAGATAATTATAAATGTAACAAATAGATTGTAGGTAATTTGTTAAGAAAATGGTATTTTTAAACGTGTTTCGATAACAGAAGCAATGAAAAACGTATGAAACGTATTAATTTGTGTGAATAGTTCCGAGTATTTTAGGGAAGCATAGAAGTATGAACTGTGTTTCTCCGGTTCAATGTATATATCTATTAAAGGGTATAATAATTCAATTATTTTTACAGCTGGTTCTTAGAATTGTATTGTGTATAAATGTTGAAATATCAGATTACTCGTCAGTAAATAAGAGATGATTTATCATAATATACATATATATATGTATTTTACAGGTCGATATACAGGTACGTTGTACTTTACATTCAATATATTTGAAGTATTTATTGTATAAGTCATAACCAGATTCCGTTAGCTTTCCATGAAGTTAATCAAAGGAGAGGGTGTCAGTATGATACCGAAATACTCAACATTTATAGTTGTAAAATTGTTTAAAACAAGCCTAGTTTACTTATTCCAAAATTATTCAATGAAATGTATAATTGAAACCATTTTATTTATTATCTATCGGCTTATACAAAAAAATAAAAATATGAATAACTGTTTACGCTGTTAAAGAAAATTCTCTTTGAATTCTTTAATTTTTTTTTCATGAGCAAAATATACTACTAACCACTTCCTGTAATCATAAAAGTAATAAAGACATAGTTTGTTATTTTTCATGTAAAAAGAAAAAGCACGTGATTGATTTCGGTGTGTTATTGTAAAATCGCATGATTTTACATAGTTTCACATTGAAAAAAAAAATCACCTACAGAGTTTAAAATGTGAATGAATCATAAACAAAATTTTCTAAACAGGAATTTCAAATACTTTCGCTTCACATAAATATTTATGCATTTTTTTCTTCAATAAATAAGTTTCAGTAACAAAAATTTAGGGTTTTACAATTCTTATATGACTCATTAGCGGTGAGCATCCACAACTTGTGCTATTTGCAAGAATCGAACCGAAGACATTCGGTGTTATGTTAGAACGCTTAACCTCTGAACTTTTCACTAGAACTCGGAGAACTTTCCTCATACAACCAGTGGAGTTCGACTGTGTTCTAGTGCAAAGCAGTATTCACTGAAGACAGTGCATGTGGTTGCGCGACGCCGTAGACTGATAGAATTCAGACATCAACACCGTTGGGTGTCGGCCCAGCGCAAGACAGAAGGTTCTTGTTTCGACTCTTGCAAGTAGCTGGTGCTGTGGATGAGTCCCATACTAGGACCTGACGACCGTCCAGTGTTTGCAAGTTCCTAATGGTGATCTAACATTGATCGATTCATGATTTGGAAGTAACTCAACAATCTAAACAACCTTATAAGTAAATTTCTTTGACTGTAGAGTGGAGTTATTTTATCGACTAGATGAATATGATTTGGTGAAACGAAGACTAACATCTTTTTTTATCGAAGTTGTTAGTTATTTCATGTTCCATACTTACTTTGCTGGTTAGTGTTTTTTATGGGATGAGATCGCCAGTCCCACCATGTCCAAACCTCCTCCTTTATCCGTACTTCGGACCGGTAGGTGCCCCAGAGGGGCTCCAGGTGGAGTTATGTTCCATACAGCATTAGCTTATTCTGAGATCAGATTCTAATGAGGATAACCATCTGTTTGCATGAATTTGCATAATTTTCAATGTTATGAAATACAGACTGACTGGAAATTTTATTAGTTTCCTATATTATTTGGAAATAATGAATATATATAGTTTAAACTGTGAGTTGATCAAGTTGGACAATAACACCTTTAGACACCGGCTCAGTGGTCCGTTGGTTAGGCGTTCGCCTACAATACCGGAGGTCCTGGGTTCGAATCCTGCGGGGTACAGGAGTCGTGGATGCTCACTGCTGAGGAGTCCCATATCAGGACGAAATGGCCGTCCAGTGCTTCTAGGTTTCCGATGGTGGTAAAAGATTGATCGATTCATGGTTTCAAAAATGTGTAAACTGTTCATGTTAGTGTCAATAGTAAACTGTACTTATTATTACGCTTTTTTTTTCAAAAAAATCTCTTATTATTTTTAAAATAATAAAATTTTAGGCGAAAATATGAATGGAAGATGTAAGTTCATTGTAGCACAGTCAATTCACTTAGATTTTTAATGTCAATATCATAATCCTATCCACACTATCAGTAGTACAGTAGAATGATTTGGTTGAAATTGTTTTCTATAGACTTAACAGAAGACATAATCAGCACCAAATTTTAAACATGAACAAGTCATTTGAGTCTCTTTTCAACCTTAAATTTCATTGGTTGTGATCAAGCCAGTGGCTGAACAACATGATTGTCTTTCAAGTTGATAAGATGATTCTTAGTCTTATAGCAATTGACTGATATATTTGGTCAATTTCAATATGTTTATTGATTATTAACTGAGCTGGATGCTAATCTTCTGGAAGTAAAATGTCACTTCAAAATGTTTACATGAAACAATTGGTCACATATCAATTAATAAAAATACATTTAAACCGTTTCGTCACAGTGGAACTAGGTTAACATAAGTGTACAAGAGTAATGTTACGTGACATTTATCACACATTTAAAATGTAGAATCTAAGATGTATCTTACATTATTAACTAGTAATATTATTATTATTATCATTATTACTGTTAATACTGGTTTGTTTTTATATTTCAATTAAACAAGTGAATGATACCGGATCAGCAAGTAAGATAATCATTATTTTCGCTACATTTTATACTTTCTAAGGAGTCGTCATATTCACCATGATTAAAGTCAATAGGTCGTTCTTATCTATACGATTCAGTGTTTTGACATTCATAGTATTGAAAATGGAATTTAAGTCTTGAATTTTATGTAAAAATATATACTTTTTAATGTCCTTAGTTGTGTTTCTAAATAAGTAATCAGTCACCAATAAACATTTTTGAATACCTAGATATGAGTAGTTTTCTCAAACATTTGAAGTCAATACAATTGAACATTGAATATTGTTAGAAACAGTGTACAAGCTCATTAAAAAAGCCAAACAGACAAAGAATAGTTAATTATTACGAAATTTAGTCTATAAAATATGTAGATTAGTACAAAGGACGTTTGACGTTTGATTGTTTTAATCAATGCGCCAACAGGAGAGTCATATAATAAGAAACCATTTTTTATTGATCTCAATAGTCATCCATTACTGTAAATAAAGTAACCTCAGAGTATCCTCAAACTTTTTGATTCAATATCGTAAAATCACATTTTTCATGTCAATACCCTCTAAAATTTGAATTATTGAATGATACTTACTACTGAAATACTCATTAACATATATTTTAATGATTATAAAAATTAAAATTTAATCCAAATTCATTTCAGCTAATGACACATTAAGAGGCAAGTATATATAAAACTAATGTGATTTTATTGGTAAAACTTAAATTTTGCAATGTTTTTTTCTCAATATTTACAGTTTACCACTGTTAATATTGTTTTTTATATATGATATGTAAATGTTCTGAATTGTTTCGGACGTCTTTTTTAGTATGTAACGTAATATTGTTTTTTAATGAGCAACTTATTTTGTTCAATATTCAATAAGATTCCTTTTTTTCAAATTACTTATCGTTTACACAAAAAGCCGACTGATTAAAATGGTACCAAACATATCCAAGATCAGTTTTTCCCCCATCAAAACAGTAAGTAGCTTTCAGACGTTGTAAGCAAACGATGAACATTGGAAACTATGTGATATTTTAACTATGACAAACGATACACAGTGGTGAAAATTTGAATTCCTTTGTAGCATTGTACACTGTGTATCGCGTAAATTACTTTAGAATCTATAGGTTCTTTGGAAAGAAACGGATTGAAAGTTACTTCATTGACTAAATTCGATAACTAAACAAGTACTCATGTTGAAAATGAGATTTACTGCAACTGATTGTAGTTATTTCGATAGGGCCTAGTTATTAAGGCTGAACTTAATGAATTCAAATCATACAAAAATATACCTTATCTAGAGTTAAGAACTCAGATCAAGAATCTTCTTTGAAGAGAATGATTTCTGATTATTCCAAAGAACTAATTCCTTATGACCTTGATTAAAAAACCCAGGTATGACAGATCATTTATGATATTTTCACACTTTTTGAATAAGTAAATGAACACCTGAACTTAGTAAATAACGTGTTGGTCAGGTTCGAATTCTGCTATGGTTTTATCAGCACAGATAGGGATACATTTATGTGACTAGCTCTACATAAGGCAATATGTGCATCTTCCGAGTTCAACTGTATTCTAGAAACCTAAATAAAATCTTGAATACACATAACGGTTTTCTTGTTTAAAAATCTCTAATGTATAATTATCTAACGAATATGAGTGTTAGGAAATGCTTATTCATACTGTAAACAATAAATTTGTTTAAATTTCAACAGCGAAACTACAAAAAACTGTCATATTCATGTCACATGTTTCATCTGAATGTAAATGTTTATGAAGTAATAAATTCTTGGCATTCCTATTCGTTGTGTAAAGAAAAAAATGATTATTTTTACTGTTAAATTATGTAATTTCAAATATGTTTTACTTTTTTCTTCTTAAAAAAAAATACGTTATTTCATAATATATCATCAGTCTATTGGTTGGTATAAATGAATTTTAGAACACTGTGCTAAACTACAACAAAAGAACCAAGTTGTAGCAAAACAATCTTTATTGAACATTTGAATAAATCGCCGCCTATCAAATTCAAAGATAATTATTATTACTAGAATGAAGGGAATTATCATTTGGCCTTATATCTGCCAAAGTGTAATAGGTCCTTTGGACGAGAATTCTCGAATGACAGGATTTCTTTTTTTGCGAAGTGCAAAATTTTGATGACCAGTTTTCTTCACTGACATTTTATCCATGAAGTTATTGTTTCACTATCAGAAATGAGGCACTGTGAAGTTATTGGCAACTGTGTAGTTGGTACATATGCAGCTGGGGGCATTTTAAAATTAGCATGAACCATATAGCAAGAGTACTGACTGGAATTCAACTACTAACCAGCTGAATACAGTACAAAATCTAAAAACACACATGTGAATGGAGTTCTGTTCGTGAATGTTTGAAGATAATACCGAGGTTATGATAAGGATGGCGTATATTTTCAAAATGATGGGATAAACAACTTCAACTTTGATTAGAAATGTGACAATGTTATCGTAATTTCAATTTATTTAAACAATTACATCCCAATATTCACAAATTCTTTCTGACTGATTCAGTTATTTGCTTGATTCTTTGAAAAGTTGTCGACTGCTGTTGAGGCTACGAAACAAGCTAAGTTAGACATCTATTAAAAAAACGAGGAAATACTGAAAGGCTGTTTCTTCTTCGAATGGCACTCCTAAGAAGTGCACACCCTTGATCACACCACCGAGGATCATACTCAAAAGTGGACAATCAACCTATGAACCATTTAACTGGCATTTACTGGTGTGCACGTCTCACGTCAACCAATCTTTCATGGTCCTATTGATCACTACTTCTCGCCAGAACGTCAGAGAGAACCTTCCGAGGTTTGTATGGGGTTTGTACAGATTGTGGAATGTCATAAAGATTCCAAACCAACTTAATTTGGATGAACCTTGTAAAATATGTGGAAAAACACTAGTCCGACAGCTACTTATTCCTATTTTGTTAACTTTATGTACCTAATTTAAAACTTTTCACTACTTAATCACTTCGATCAAATTCTATTTTTAAAAATTTATTTTTATTATCATTAGTAAATAATCAGTTATATGCTTCATTATCTGTCAAATAATTACTTACTGCACCTTGATTACTTCAACAGTCTTTAACCACTGCGAAATTTAAATCCGTTTCAAATGAACAAAACTAAAATTCAATTGTTCAATGATTCATGTACAAAATTAAAACTTAATTATTTTAAAAATAAAACTCCATTGTTCATTCTGTCATCTGTTATGAAATAAAATAAATTTACACTTATACTGCATATCAGTCTCGTTCTACAATAGATTTGTTTGAATAGTGACATTGTTAACATTGTAGTTTGAATTATTGAAATTCTCTGTTTATCCTATTTATATATATATGTGAACAGTTTAATTTGATCAAACTTTACTTTTAAAACAAGAATTAAAATAGTTTTCATTTAATTTCGGTTTCTTCAAAGATATTTATTCATTAAGTTCATTAAGTTCGTTAAGATGGTATTTATGTCTGTCTCACATGAACCGATTCTTTGTGCATTCTTTAGATGTTGCTGTAAGGCGTTTCTCATCAGAACACCTCTCTACTTGTTCTATTTTACACAATCTTGTCAATCATATTATGAATTCGCCAACTTTTTTTAAATTATAATAATAATGAGAATTTTACGAGAAAAATACATTTGTGTAAATTTGTTTGTTAGTAGTGTCAATCAATTTTACACAGTACTGTAGGATTAATTTTAGTGCTAAGTTCTCAGGAATTCTACTTACAACGACAGCTCATCAAGAATAGAATATTTATTTTTTTTTTTTAAAAATTGGATTACATTTTTTTCTATTCATTAAATAATTAAATAATTTTTTATTTTTAGTTTTTAATAATGTATAATACATATTTAAAAAATTGACATATTAGTAGTTTGTGAAAATAACTGTCTGTATCTTTTGTTTTTTTTTCCGAAATAATTTCAACAAAATAATTCATGATTTTGTATTGCATTTTTAATTTATTTAATCTTATAGACAGTATGTATTCATTGGATCGTAATTCGATTAGATCAAGTCATAGACGATCATTCAGAGAAAGTCTTGGATTATCAGGTTAGTTGTTTCTTGTCTGTGTAATCAAAATGAATAATCAAAGTATAGTATTCCCTTTATTCCTGAATAAATTGATCCAACGTCACTATGACTAATCCTGTTCATTTAAAATGTTTTCATTTTCGTGAATTTTTCATGACACAATACGAATTCAAGATATTACCAAAAAAAAAGGCCGATCAGCTTTACTTAGAAAATCACGAAGATTTGCACATTCAAAACTGTATACAAAGCTCCCCGTCTGATATATTAATGTATGGCGTTAGGCTTTCGTTATCTTCAATTTCCCCTATATCTCCGTCTTGATGATCGCTACGAGAGAACACGAGTCGTTGCCACAATTTCTTTATTATTCAAATTCTTTTAATGATCGATACAAATATCGGATTTAATTCAAATATGTATAGTCAATATTGACGTCGAATTATTCAAACTGTTAATCAATGTAACTAGTCAAATAACTATGTGTGCAGGTGGTAAGTATTGCCCAAGCGTACATGCACATACAAGCTCAACAATGATAAAAGCACAAGATATATGTGAGGTGTTACAATAGCTCCCTCCTAGCAAACAAGGATACAAAAGTGTCTGTGTTTGCGAAAAAAAATCATTCGAAATTATCGAAATTTTGCTAAAGATAAGGTTATCCTGTTTGAGTTCGTGTGTGTTTGTGTGCTTGAATGATAACAGAAGATCAAAAATCGAAATGCACGAAAAGTTTTGGCGTACAGATGCGAAGCGAAGAAAAAAATATATATATTCGAAACGGTGAAAGAACTTATCTATTCAAAATCGTAGCTATATATCTTTCCGGCCACCTGACCCTTCGTCCATATCTAGTCGTTCGTGGACTTTCTTCACTTTTCTGCGTTGATATCGCTGATGGTTGTAACTCGCATTTTCGGTGATTCGATGGCTTTCGAAGGATTTGTAGTTATCAGCTGTTTCTCACTTTCAACAAAAGCTGGTTTGACTCGGTCGACGCGAACTACATCCGTTTTTCCAGCTGTATCAACTGTAATAGTCTTATCGTTTCTTTTGATTACTCTAAATGGACCATCGTAGGTCGGTTGTAAGGGACTTTGAATATTATCTCTTCTGATAAATACATGGGTACTGTCGTTCAGTTATTTAGAAATATATACACGATGTTGATCTTTCTTCGGAAGCGTTATTCTAAGATCATTCATGTGTTCTTTTAGACGATGTACGTAGTTGGCTATATCAGTTGGAACACTTTTACTTGAGGTGAAAAACTCTCCTGGTAAACGTAGAGTAGTTCCATAAACTAACTCTGCAGGGCAACATCCAATATCTTGTTTAATTGTAGATCTTAAACTCAACATGACAAATGGAAGCTTGCTGACCCAATCATCATTGCTGATAACAGCTGTGAGAGATGCTTTCAGTTGTCGGTGTAATCTCTCTAAATACCATTCGCCATCGGATGGTAAGATGTTGTGCGTATAAGTTTAATGCCGAGAAGATCTGTAAGTTGTTGGAAAAGCGACTTTCGAATTGGGCTCCTCTATCGGTTGTAATATTAGCAGGCACTCCATAATATGAGATCCGATGTTCAACTAAGGTTTTAGCTATGGTCTCCGCTGAAATATCTTTTATGGGCACTGCTACAGGCCATCGCGTGAATTTGTCGATGCAGGTAAAAATATAACTGAAGCCATTTGAAATTGGCAGTGGTCCCACAATATCGATATGTGTATGCTCGAACCGGATATCTGGATGGTGGAAAGGACCTACTGCGGATCTTGTATGACGATGAACTTTAACTTTCTGGCATTTTATGCATGCCTGCGTCCAGTTCATACTTGGCCATACAAAATGCTCGCTGAACAGACTGATCGTGGTCTTAATTCCAGGATGTGATATGTTATGCATAGTTTCGAAAACGTTTCGTCTAAACGGCTTCGGAATAAACGGTCTTGGTCGGCTTGTAGAAATATCACACATTAGGTTTACCTTGCCGAATGGAGTTTCCCGGAGTACTAAAGAAGTTGTACTGGATGATCTTAGCCTGCTTAGCTCAACATCCATATTTTGCAAGGCTACAAGAACGTTAAAGGAATTCAATTTCAGTGGAGATATGCTAAAATTTTGAGTTGGAAAAATTCTAGGAGTCCTCAAAATATCAAACAATATGACTTTCAGTATTCAATAGATATGTCGATGTAAATTGAACTCACGAAAAAAATAAACTCAATCGGTCAGAACTCAGTCATAAGCGAACAGTGAACAAGAATGAAAGTACACAGAATGAAAGACACAATTGTTAAGTTAGATAATCATTATTAATTAGGACAACCACGGATGAAATGATGACTCAAATAATCACATTTACAAGAGTCAAACTCTGACCATTTTTAGAATGACAATAAGTGTTTAATAATTAAATTTTATACAGATTTTAGTACGATCATACCGTTGTTCTCTCAAGTTATCTGAACGAAACACAATATGGAATATACTTATTTCTATTTTCATTATCAAGATATATAGTGTGACGACGCGTATGCTACCTAGTTATGTATGGTAAAAAAATTAAGAACCACTGACTGTGTACAGTATTATAGCGATCAAATTATTACCTATTTCCATAATGTGTTCCGTTTGAATTGTCATCTATGATTATTTTTATTTGTTTAGAAAGGTGCAAATGTTATTGGGATCATACACCGTATGCACCGGAAGGACACACTGTGATCACCGAAGATGAACGTTCTAGAACTGGTTCAATACGTAGTGGAGAATTTCAACGTTCCAGACCGACTTCATTTTCAAATAATGATGATATACATTATAAACCTGTATACACTAGAAGTTCTGAAGATTTACACCCTAGAACTATTAATGTCACTACTAGTAGTTTACCAAATGCAGAAGATCCACACAATTCACTATGTAGCCCAACAGTTATCAATTTGAATTTTATGAATTCAGATCAACCTCCAAGTAAGTGAGATGGTTAAAAGAATTATTGTATATGATAAAGCGTTTTTTATGATTAATTATTGTGTATCGTAGTCGAGACCGAGGTCGCTGTTCCTGCAAATGGAGCATAGGCTGCCAACTACTTCCGGTGATCGTTTTTTTAGCGAGTTGGCCCTCTATGAGATGGGGTCACTAACCCCATGTCCAACTCTCCTCCTTTATCCGGACAGTAACTTTAGAAGGGCTCCAGGTGGAGTTATGTATTGTGGCACAGACATGTAATGATTGATCTTAGTGAGCTCAGTGAGTAGCTTATTCCTTCAAACACAAACTCTTACAAAAACAAGTTGTTTTCATTGTTTCTTCTTCATGTGAAAAGATCGGTCAACCCTTTCGGATGCAGGCAGTAACTACCCGAAGACACATAGTTGAGGTCGCGCAAAATCCCTAGATCAATCAGAGTTAGTCATTAACACCGTCGGATGTCGGCCCAGTGGTCCGATGGTTAGGCGTTCGCACACAATACCGGAGGTCCCGGGTTCAAATCCTGCTAGGAGCAGGAGTCGTCGATGCGCACTGCTGATGAGTCCCATACCAAGACGAAACGGCCGTCCACTGCTTCCAGGTTTCTAATGGTGGTCTAACAATGACTGATTGATGATTTGAGGGTGTAAAATCACTGATCTCCATAACCCTAATTGAGTGGGGGGGGGGGGGAAATGATTACCGTTTAAAAACTGAATGAAACCTGGATGTTTGGAAATAGCATGTAACAACAACGATAAAAAATTGTCACTATTGTCATTATTACTCTGAATGATTCCGAAACTGCTAACACTGCTTTTGATTGATACAAGTGAATTTCATTAAAGACAGAGTTAATTGATAAAATAGAAAAACCATATCGTAAATTGTTAATTTGCAAAATACCAGTCCATCATATCGAACTGGACTGTACCTGTTGTAAAACATCAATCCATTGTCACTGTTCATGCTATTTCATACAAATCTCATTGTGTTCCCACTCTTCTTCCTTTCTCTTGATCTTCCCCCATCTTCTGCTGCCAGACATTATTACGTTTTCACTCGCATCATATACTACTTAAAATAAGTAGCGCGCATCACAACACTAAAGGTGTATTTTTTGTAAACTGTACAGAAAAAATACCCATAAATAAAAAAATATGGAGGTTCGCAGGTTCTTTTATGTTAGCTTTGACTAATCTATTATGAAATAACAATAATAATAATAATAATAATAATAATAATAATAATGATTTACGTTTATTTTCAAACACATCAACTCAACTCAACAAAGTTGAGTTTACTTTTGTAATCATTCATAAAAAGCTACTACCACTACTACTACTACGACTGGTACTATCGGTTTTCTCAAGATTAGCGGCATCCCTTCAAAAGGTTTAATATTTTTTATATTCAAGTTATTACACTTTAAGTGAATTCATAAGTGAATGGAGAAAAAAATAAACACATATGCGTCATACTGAAGGTATACTTTGCTTTATGATAAAAGTTTTCTACGTTTAATAAAGAAAAATCATTTCTTGATTGTTAAGCAAGCACATACCTTAATTTCAAGTTGAATTTATGAAACCGTTAATATGTGACAAAACTTGAGTATAGTTGAGGCTGGAATCGAACTTGTTTGCCTTTTTGATTGTGAAAGTAGTGTATCGGAAATCCAGCAGATACTCGTTGAAAAAGAAATACAAACTCTATTTTTGTCATGAATACAAACTGAGGTGTAATAGTTTTCTGTTTAGTTTATAACTGGATGAAGTGACAACTATGTAATTGTGTTTTTATAGCGAAGGGGTAAGACTGAAATTCAATCGTCAGTATAGAGTTGCGAATATTGTTGAGTTTCATTGATATCGTGTAGTGATCATTGGTCAGGGCATCATAAGAAACTTGAAACCACAGTTGAATGCCAGCTCAGCGGTTCAGAGGATTTTACGCAACCTCACCCACTGTCTTTAGTAGTCACTTTCTGCATCTGATAGAGTTGAACTCCACTAGTCACGGCTTACTCATTTACTTACTTACTTACGCCTGTTACCCCCAATGGAGCATAGGCCGCTCACCAGTTTTCTCCAACCAACTCTGTCCTGGGCTTCCCTCTCCAGTTCTGTCTAATGTTTGTTCATTCCTCTCATATCTTTCTCTATTTCTCGGCGTAATAGTCACGGCTTAGATTGTTCAAAATTTGTCATTGTATACGGCTCAGTAACCCATAGGTTATGCGTTCGAGCGAAGATCAAAGGTTCTGGGTTCACTTCCTGTGAGTAGCGGGAGACGTGGATCCGCATAGTAGGATGAGAAAACCTTTCACTCATTCCAGCTTTCTAATGGTAGTCTAAAATTGATCAGTCCATGATTTTAAAGTGACTCAACAATCATCATGACTCTATAATGAATAAATATTACATTTTTTGAAATTAGAAACTTGGAAGCACTGGACGGCCGTTTCGTCCGGGTATGGGACTGCTCATCAGCAGTGCGCGTCGACGACTCCTGCGCACCTTACAGGATTCAAACCCGGAACCTTTGGTATTGTGCGCGAACGCCTAACCATCGGGCCACTGGGCCGGCATCCAACGGTGTTAATTAATGTCTAACTCTGATTGATCTAGGGATTTTGCGCTACCTCACCCATTTGTCTTTGGTAGTTACTGACTACACCCGAAGGGCTCAACTCCATTAGTCACGTCTTCTCAACTAGAACTCTGAGAATTTCCTCACAAAGCTAGTCACCAGTGAGCACTGTTACGATATTTTCGGGCAGAGTTTTGGAGGTTTTGTGTTTGTACACATTTGAAATGATCAATCAATGATTGTTAGACCAACATTAGAAAGCTGGAAGCACTGGACGGCCGTTTCGTCCGGGTATGGGGCTGCTCATCCGCAGTGCGCATCCACGACACCTGCATCTCGCAAGATTCGAACCCGGGACCTTTGGTAATGTGCACGAATGCCTAACCATCGGACCACTGGGTCAGCATCCAACTCTGCCAGAAAATATTACATCATAAAGAATTTATTCCAAATAAATTTAGGTTTTATTATCGTTTAGTGAATGCATAAACAGGACATGATATTATTATTGATTAACACAGTTGAAAAATAGCTCTGATGCATCACATAACAATTACACTTTCAATATTCTTAGATCAATTTATTTCTGCCGGACATTGAAACATGATTAGGATTTTTCAAGTAGTAGTTTGAACAGCTTGTGCTTCATTTCTTATAGTATTTTGTGAAGAATTTTATTTATGAATTTTGAATTGAATTCATAGATCACAGAATTTAAATTTATTATAAATAAATGCGAAAAAATGTAAAAATTAACCTAGAGAAAAATGATGCCTTTTTTTTAAATTTTATTTACAGCTATTGGTAAGTATTTCTAATAGATTTTTCTAAATTTTAGCATAAATACATATACTATTTATTAATATTATTAGTAACTAGTTCTGATAGTGAAAAAACAGTCCTGTCCTATTATATCATGGAGAAATGTATTTAGATATCTTGATTTGCATTAGTTCAATGCATAACAGTACTTTGTTTATTGATAATTTACTTTTTCAGTTACCAATAGAAGACCATCAGGTATTTTCTTAATCTAATATCCTTATAAATACATTTATATACACGACTTTCATGTGTCATGTCAAGTTTATTTTTACTATATCTGGTTCGCCACATAGTTGGTGAGCGACTACATTTTAAAATCATTCATTTCTAATCGGTTAATTTGTCTGGATGTTCGACATACAATCATGAATGTGGTAACATGTTAGACATTCGAATTTCATCAATGAATATAACTTGAACTTATAAGTAGCCAGATCAGATCAATATACACGTAGATACACTTGTTATATTGCTAAAATTTCTTCCACGTTTCATACCAAAATGACTTCTACGTACACCATCAACACATTCCATTAAGATTGGTTAATTTGTTAATTTTGCATTATGCTATTATAGAGATTGTTGTTTGATATTGATCAGAGTTGCTCATTAACAGAGCTCTGTTAGTGAACGAATAATCTTGTCCTATTAAATAAATCATGGAGAAATGCATTTAGGTATCTTGATTTTCATTAGTTCAATGCATAACAGTTCGGACAGATACAAGTTGATTATCTGTTAACACACATATCAATGAAAATCTATAAAATACACTTTTACAGTCAGTATAGTTTGTTAGGAGAGAAAAATATGAAGATAACACCATAAGAAAATTAACATTTACTGGAAACATCGAATGTCAACTACAAATGTGAATGTGAAATAGTTTCTGTTTTAAATCAACTAAAATGTCTTCACACATTTGAACTCATCAGTCAATCATTGTTAGACCACCATTAGAAACCTGGAAGCACTGGACGGCATTCAAAGGTGTTAATGTCCAACTCTGGTTGATCTACAGATTTTGCGCGACGTCACTCATTTGTCTTTGGTAGTTACTGCTAGGCGCAGGAGTTGTGGATGCGCACTCCCACTGATGAGCAGTCCCATACCAGGAAAAAACGGCTGTCTTTCAGTGCTTCCAGGTTTCTAACGGTGGTCTAGTAACAATGATTGATTGATGATTTCAAATGTGTAAAAACACAAATCTTCAAAGCTGTAACTAAAATGTTTTCGTTTCTGTTCGTATACTACTCTACTCAGAAAGCATCAAGATTATTGAGTAGTTCAAATGATTAATGCCTAAAGTCAGAACAATCATACTCGAAAAACCAAAACTTAACTTTATTACTTTGTTCATTGGTAATTTACTTTTTCAGTTACCAATACAAAACCATCAGGTAGCTTCTTGATCCAGTTTGCTGATAGATACATTAATATCTAACAAAATTCATGTATTTTATATTCCATCTTACTTGTATGGTAGTATTACAGAGATGTGTATAGTTTGAATGAATCACAAACTATTCTATAAATTGATCGAGTGAAATTACGTAATGTTATCATCAAATAAACTCATAGTTTTAAAATGTAAAACAACTGCATTCACAGTGGTGATTTAATTATGTGAAATTATTCACTGCATTTTCTTCTATATAGGTGACTTTTCTAGTCCCAATCGTATGTCAATTAGAACATCAATAAAACGTCCATCAAGAAGTTCAACACCAGTGTCTGGTAAGTTTAAATTTAAATCCGAACATTTGTGCCCATCTTAGTGCTTTACGTAATGTACCAGCTGAAAATTGAATTTTGTGTACAAATTGTTTATGTACAAATTGACTGTAACACACCTATTTTGTTGAATTAGCGAATGTCAGTTATTCGTTAATTCTCTATCGTTTTTTAAATATTCATCAACTGGGACTGAATCGCATTGCGGGGTTGTTGTGAAGATTATTAAGTTTTATTTGCAACCATGAATCAATCAATGTTAGACCACCATTAGAAACCTCAATGCACTGGACGGCCGTTTCGTCCTGCTATGGGACTCATCGGCAGTGCGCATCCACGACTCCTGCTCCTCGCAGGATTCGAACCCAGGACCTTCGGTATTGTGCGCGAACACCCTAACCGTTAGACCACTGAGCCGGTATCTAACGGTGTTAATGTCTAACTTGATCAAATCCACGGAGTTGCGCGACCTCATACCCTGTATACATCCGGACAGGTTTGAACTTCACTGGTCACGACTTCCCACTAGAACTCGGAGAAGATTCCTCACCAAGCTAGTCACTAGTGGACACATGTCATTGCATTGCGGGGTTGTTGTGAAGATTGTTAAGTTTTATTTGTAACCATGAATCGATCAATGTTAGACCACCATTAGAAACCTAACGGTTAGGGTGTTCGTGCACAATACCGAAGGTCCTGGGTTCGAATAATGCGAGGAGCAGGAGTCGTGGATGTGCACTGCCGATGAGTCTCATAGCAGGACGAAACGGCCGTCCAGTGCATTGAGGTTTCTAATGGTGGTCTAACATTGATCGATTCATGGTTACAAATAAAATTCTCTGAATCATCAGTTTTAAAACTATTACTTCACTAATGTCCAACGCATGAAAATTTTTATAAAAGAAATAATCCATCATTTCTCGATTACATGAGATGACTACAGCGACAAAAGAAGAGCAAACTGTTGAATGTATTTGTGGTTCCATTGATCAGGTCGTTTATATTGCATGCTCTCTTTAGTCCGAATATTACTTAGTTCCACTTATCAGACCTGTAAAAGCGCTTATGATCACTTGATCATATGATACAGCTAACAATGAGAAACTAGTCAGAACCTAATGCTAATCAGGGCTTGAACTTTTTTCTAACCCAATCCAAAGACAAAAATGGAAAGCAATAGAATTGTCTTTTTGTACCTCTATTCAGTCATGCCTCAAAACTCAAACAGTAATATACCTGAAATACTTGATCGTAAAGCAACACACTCAGGGAATTAAAACGTGCACATAACTTGTTCTTTAGTAATACTATAGTGAACAAGAACACAGGTGGGACAACCGAATTGTATTTAACGAAAATTACAGAGTTACTCAGTAAAATCGGAAAACCATATCGTAAATCGTTCATTTGCAAAATAACAGTTCATCATATGGAACTGGACTGTTCCTGTTGCAAAACATCAATCCATTGTCACTATTCATGCGTTTCATACAAATTCCATTGTTTTCTAACTCTTCCTTTCTTGATTTTCCCCTATCTTCTGCTACCAGACATTACGTTGACGCTCACGTCATATACTACTTATAAGTAGCTCACACCACAATACAAGTGCATATCAGTCAAACTGTAGTTTACAAAATGTTTGCTAATTATCCAATACAAACGTTAATGGTTATTCTTCTCTTGACAACCCCTATGAGTTATAATTCCACACTGTTCAATCTGTTACATCAACCTGCTTTTGTATAGTATTGGTAAATAACATTGCCTAAATAGAAATGTAGATTTACTGTAAGTGTAAATGTACAAGTGTATAAAAGCGTTTGTATTACAAAAATATCCATCAGAGGTGAATGTTATTTAAACAAAGTTTTGACAATGACTAGTAGTAGTAGAAGCTCAAATGTGTGTTTTTTTTTCTGGCTTGAACTCATCAGTTAAATGTGTCTACACACCCGTACTGTTCTTCATAGCAGGAAAAGCACTGGACTCGAATTCTAGTGTACATAATCAACATCAGCCCGGCAGGTATATCCACCATAGGTAGTTTGAAATCGGATAAAAATACACATATCGGAAAATCAATCCAATACTAGCCACTATTCAAACTTGACTTAATTGTGCTTAACAATGAATGGCACTGTCAAGTCAATGCACTCGTGATACACAAGTACCGAAAGAGACTGGTCAATTCCAGTACATGACATCTATAACAACAAAATCAATACCTTTACAAGTGAAGTCTGAATGTCGTTTACTCAATAAAACTGTTCATTGGGTGCTTTTCAGTAAGAATTGAAGTAATGCAATGAGTAATACCAGTAAGATGATTAGCTTTACTGAAGTTATATATTTATTCTAGGTAGTTATCAAGATAGACAATCGTTTGAAAGAGACAGCAGTGTTTCAAGTATGTCAAGTTTTTAACAAAAAAATATATTGAAATTACAATTTCTAAATCAATATTGACATTTTACTAACTGAAATATTTTTTCTTCTGATTAATTTTTTTTGTGGTAATAATCATAATCATAAATGTGAACTCTATCATTCTAAAAAAAGGAAAACCAATGTAATAGTTGTGAATCTTTCAAAATACCATCTGTCTGTTTGAATCATTCATTAAAAATATAGTTTGCTCATACTGTAGTGAAGGAGAGCACAGGTGAGGGCAACCGAATTGTATTCTACGAAAATTACAGAGTTACTCAGTAAAATAGGAAAACCATATCGTAAATCGTTCATTTGCAAATCTTCAATCCATCATCAATCCACTGTCTGACATTTCACTCACTATTCATGCGTTTCATACAAATTCCATTGTGTTCCCACTCTTCCTTTCTTGATCTTTCCCCATCTTCTGCTGCCAGACATTACGTTGACACTCACGTCATATACTACTTATCAGTAGCTCGCACCACAATACTAGGAAATTATTGATCGATTTCCATGACGCAACTTGAAAGTTTGTCAGTAATATGTTTCGAGTTTAGAAATTGATTATCAGTTAAATTGAATTGAATATATGTGGTAGTAGATTGATTTCATGAAATAAAAACTAAAACCAGTACGAAACATGGCAATGTTCATAAATTATGCTATTTAAGTACATAAACAACTATTGATAATTTAACTTTCATTAGAAACTTCAGAATTTCCTTATTGATTTATTTTCTTTCTTGTACAGATGGAAGTAGGTTCATTCGATTAAATATTATCATATTGTTAAATTGTTGGATTATATATATATATATATATATATATATATATATATATATATATATATATCATTTATCTGTTATTGAAAAAGGAAATTATTTTCGTCAGAACTTCAGTAAATAGAACTAATATAAGCTCAGTTTTTCAATCGATAGTTAGGTTGACATTTTACGTCAAAGGAAGCAATCAAACATCAAAAATCAAACATTGAAATCATAAATCGATCAATGTTACATTATGATTAGAAAGCTGGAAGCATCGAATGGCCGTTTTGTCTTGATATGGGACTCATCAGCAGTGCGAATACACGACTCACGCAACTCTTAGGATTCGATCCCAGGAGTGCCTCTGAGCTGCTGAGCTGACATCCAGTGCGAACGATGGACTGATCGAAGTTAGTTAGCTAAGTGGTCCAGAGGTTAGGTGTTCGCGTGCAAGACCGAAGGGCCTGAGTTGCGAAAGTCGCGGGTCCGCACTGCTGATGATTCCCATAACTGGAAGAAACAACCGTCCAGTGTTTCGAGGTTGCTAATAGTGATCTAACATTGATCGTTTCATGATTTTCAAACATAACTCAACAATCTTCACAATCCTTTCATGCTAAATAAAATTATTGAATATAATTATCATGATTAAAAAATTAATTGTATACTCATGAAACCAACTGCTCGTATTAATTCTGCTAAATATGAAATTTGTCAGTAGTGTTTGCAGGATTTAGGGACATACTACTCAGTGAGGAACAACAACAGGAATGTACTAATATGATCGACTGTTATGACCACTGTCCTATATATATATATATATATATATATATATATATATATATATATATATATATGAGATGTTTCCGAATTCCATAGAATCTGGACATATAAGTGACTTGTCAGAAACAAGATTCATTAAGAAAGGTTTTGATCTGTACAACGATTGCCTGACTTTTGAAACCACAGGTAGATCGTCAAATCTAAACGATAACCATAGAAGATATAGAGTAAAACATTTGTAATGTGACAGCTAATAATTGGTTTACAAATCTGAATTTCATTTTACTACATCTGGTTCGCCACATAGTCAGTGAGCGACTACAATTCACAATCATTCATTTCTAATCGGTTGATTTGTCTGGATATTCGACATACAATCATGAATGCCGATGATAAGTTAGACAGTCGAATTTCATCAATGATTATAACCTGAAGTTATAAAAAGTCAGAGAATTTTCGCTCAAATCAGATCAGTACATACTTAGATACACTTGTTATTATATTGCTACGATTTCTGCCACGTATCGTACCAAAATGTCTTTTACATATCACATCATCGACACATTCCATTAGGATTGGTTAAATTGTTATGCTATCATAGAGATTGTTGTTTGCTGTTGATCAAAGTTGCTCATTATTAATTAACACAGCGGGATGTCAAGTATTCCATTAACTTGGTACCCAGCCAATATGGAATTTTAATGTCTTAAAGATTCCTATGGTGAAGATGAGAACAACACGTAAAAAAATTACATAGTAATGTTTTCAGTAAGATCGTCAGTAGGACTAATATTTATATGAAAATGTTAAAACAATCAACGCAATGTGAGTCAGTAAAAAGAATGAAATAGATTATAAAAAAACGACACACAGTAGGTAAATGTTTAAGTTGATTGTAAGAAGACAGGTTTACTGATAGTAATAAAATACTTTGTGTGATCGTTAGCATCATTTTCACATCGTGGTATTTGACAGTAATTTTCTGTCTCTTTCCGTTTATCGCCTTTAGCATCTAATTATTATTGACATAATTCTCACTATGTAATGGTTTTAATGTTTTGCGACAAGTTATTTAAGTCTATTAATCAACGTTCGATCTACTACTTCTAATGTTGAACTGTTGACAAAGACTTCTACGAATATTACAGAGTTACTCAGTAAAATAGGAAAACCATATCGTAAATCGTTCATTTGCAAAATATCAATCCGTCATATCGATCTGGACTGTTCCTGTTGCAAAACATCAATCCGTTGTCACTATTCATGCATTTCATACAAATTCCATTGTGTTCTAACTCTTCCTTTCTTGATCTTCCCCCTATCTTCTGCTGCCAGACATTACGTTGACACTCACGTCATATACTACTTATAAGTAGCTCGCACCACACTATCAGTACACTTGTTCTCCTACTATCAACTTATACTTTTACCGATTATGTGTAGTTACGTAATCTCTATTTCATTGTCATGATTGACTCGTAAATTGCCCCAATCAGTTTGACATTTTCTCATCAATATTCATGTATATTAGAGTTACGCCTGATAACGATCTAAATGAAAACAGCATTGTTCGCCTTAAATGTACATATTCATTGTTGGTACAAGAATTTATTCAACGTTGAAACAGTGAACTGCAGCATGATTAGGCTTACAGTTATTTCATGTGTATAGAGAATGTAAACCTGTTTTACATTGATTAACTTTTCATTAAAAAGAAAAATGTTTTTACTTAATCTGAATGGTAAAACAATATATATACTACTGATAATGTTATTATTGATTTACTTCCTTGTAATTTCAGGAGCCAACTATCTGAGTAAGTTACATTATTTCAAAAATTGTCTATATCTTCAATACAAAAATTAATATTGAGATAAACTCTTTGATGAATGATAATACACCTACTGATTCTAGGTAATATATAAGTAGTGAACGTGTTCTTAAGTAATACTGTAGTGAACAAGAACACAGTTGGGGCAACCGAATTGTAATTAACGAAAATTACAGAGTTACTCAGTAAAATAGGAAAACCATATCGTAAATCGTTCATTTGCAAAATATCAGTTCATCATATCGAACTGGACTGTTCCTGTTGCAAAACATCAATCCATGCGTTTCATACAAATTCCATTGTTTTCTAACTCTTCCTTTCTTGATCTTCCGCCACCTTCTGCTACCAGACATTACGTTGACACTCACGTCATATACTACTTATAAGTAGCTCGCACCACATACAGTTGTTTTTTCAAATTGTTTTGTTAGAAATGCTAAAGCATTACAAATAATTGTATATTTGAATACATACCCAATAAAATAAGTCAACTTCCAATATTAACGGGAGAAAGATTCTGTCGTACTGCAGTACTTCCAACAGAGGTCTAAAAGTTTTTGAAGCTATCTATCACTTGGGAAAGAAAGTATTTCATATGCAGCTTTAAAAGTCAACAGACATGTTATTATTGTAATTTATAATTTTGAAACATTTGAAATTGTTCAATGATCAGTTAATAAATAACAAATTTATAGGCTTCACATAGAAGTTCTACTTTCAAATGCCATCATGTATTATAGTGGAACAAATGTTTATCATTTTGACTATGAACTTTGATGAGACTCCAATGTTATTTGATATGCATTACTTACTTACACCTGTTACCATCAAATGCCATCATGTATTATAGTGGAACAAATGTTTATCATTTTGACTATGAACTTTGATGAGACTCCAATGTTATTTGATATGCATTACTTACTTACACCTGTTACCCCCAATGGAGCATAGGCCGCACACCACTTTCCTCCAACCAACTTTGTCCTGGACTTCCCTCTCCAGTTCTGTCCAATGTTTGTTCGTTCCTCTCATATCTTTCTATATTTCTCGGCGAAATTTGTTTCCTGGCCTTCCTCTTTTCCTTTCACCTTGAGGCTTCCATGTGAGGGCTTGTCTCGTGACGCAGTTAGGTGCTTTTCGTAGTGTGTGTCCTATCCACTTCCACTTCTTCCTGATTTCCTCCTCCACTTGAGTCTGGTTTGTTCTCTCCCACAGTACGTTGTTGCTGATGGTGTCTGGCCAACGAATCCGAAGTATTTTGCGTAGACAGCTGTTAATAAACACTTGTATCCTCTGGATGATGGCTTTGGTAGTTCTCCAAGTTTCCGCTCCATACAGTAGAACTGTCTTGATATTTGTATTGAAAATCTTGATTTCGGTTTTGGTTGAAAGTTGTTTGGAGTTGCAGATATTTTTCAACTGTAGAAATGCAGCCCTTGCTTTGCCGATCCGCGCCCTCACATCTGCATCGGATCCACCTTGACTGTCGATGATGCTGTCCAGATATGTAAAGGTGTTAACGTCCTCGAAGGCATCTCCATCAAGAGTGATTTGGTTGGTGCATGTTGTGTTGCATCGGAGAATTTTGCTTCTTCTCATTGTAATGTCCTCTTTCTTTGTTTTGAAGGATGCTTTAATGATCCTTGGTCCATGAGATTCCCATTCTATCAGTGCCTTTTGTGCATGTTTGGACAGCATCAGTGCAACTCCTTGTGTATATGAAGCATTTTCCTCTTCATTACGAGAGTATAACAGTAGTTCCCCTGAAGCTAGTCTCAGTTGTTCTGCCTGTGTCCAATGTGTTTCACTGATGCCGAGCACCTCGAGGTTGTATCTTTTCATTTCTGCCGCAACTTGAAATAGTCTTCCAGTCTCCCACAATGTACGAACGTTCCATGTATAGTTTACCTATAAGTGCAAACGTATATATAACGTGTTCATTGTCTGTAGGATGTCTCGTGTTTAGATCACTCATCTATCAAATTGTGTAATTGAGAGGAATCCTATATGACAAATCACAAACCTTATCGTCACAATAAATAACTTAGTGTGTAGTATGAGACGAACAGTCAGTCTGATTGATAATCGGTAACTGATATTCCTGTTGACAGAGAACTTCATTCTCATCCTATCAACCATTGAAATGATGAATGTATTCAGTTTGTTGTGGTGAGGGAATTGAACTCGGTCAGATACACTGACAAGAGTGGAAAACACATATATACAACTATTGGATAATGAATAGTTTACATTTATACATAAATAATACCTTAAAATTAATGATGACCCGTTGATAATGTGATTTCTTGTCTTGATTTGTTTTTACAGATGGAAGTAAGTTCACTGTGTTTGTCTTATACTTTGATATGATGTAATGAGTTATTGAAATATTTGACTGATCTAAGTGTAGTACACAATCCACAGTGATCACACTTACACAAGTAAACTTTTCGAAGTAGTTTTATTGAAATGACAAATGGATCCATGCTGGACCACTAATATAAGACTTATAAGCAGTTTACATCCATGAGTCTCTCTTGTGAGATAATTTCACTAATTCACGCATACAAAACAGAACGATAAATAATATTACTTCACAATTCATGAAATTAATTTTGTTGTGACTTAAAGTCTGATACTTTCAAAGGATGGGAAACATTTCTAGATCAAATTAATTCTCTTCACAGTTTTGAGTTCCCTGATCTTGATGATGATTTAAAGTCATCGGAATTGTTGGGAAGTGAATTCATTCAGTGTTATACAACCACAAGAACGCAGACAATTCAATCTTTTCACTTCTATCAAAGATTCAAGTAAAATTTGCCCAAAGCGTCATTCGCTGACTGAACAAAACCTAATTTGTCCAATCAAAACGATTACAATGTTAGGAATTTCACAATACATATATTATAAGTTTAACATGTCAAAGCTTCTTAGTGCTTAGTGGGAACTATCACTGGTCATCATTGTTTCAATAGTACATAAGCACAGGATAAGTGTATAATTACGGAATCAGCAGGGCTGTCTAGCCACAATTTCACTGGAAAAATGAACTATTACGAGTTCACCTTACTCAATAAACGAGAGTGAAGACAATGATCCAGTGACACGATAGGCTACTCTAATCCGACTGTCCCAAGCCCCCCACTAACGGTATCAAAAAGTCTTGATATGACGTAGAAAGTGTATTGTACAAGCACCCCGAAAATATGAAGCCCTCAAGCACACACATCAAGTTTATTCATACATCATACAAACGTCCTTAGAAGAGCCACAAAAATAGCGTACTCAAATAACACATCAACCAATGACAGTCAAGGATTTTCCGGGTGGGAAATGTTGTCTCAAGGTCAATTGATCAGCCCATGAATAAAATCCAAAACTAACGTCTCCAATATAAAATGAAGTACAAGAAATATCAGGTTGATTGGACAACATGTTCAAAAGTCAAGAATAGTATTCTTGGCTGTTGTTATGTAGAAAATCCAAACGGTACATTTTTAAAACTCTGTTTCACCACATATAGTCGATAGTAAAATACGAATGAGAAATCAGCAATCATAACATTTGTTTTACTTCATTTTATTTTCAGGAGCTAGCTATATGAGTAAGTTCTGATACTTTTTAAAAATATTTTGTCGTGTAAGTGAAAGTACCAAGAAACTAATAGTTTGGCGATCAATTGCCCAATTCGAATTCCGTAAAATATTTAATAGTTGACTATCTACATGTTACGTATGCACGTAAACACGTCATTTTGATATGCTTGAACTATTACGAGTTTACCTTAGTTGGAAAATGAAAGCGAGGATTGAGGATCCAGCGAAACGACATTCTACTCTAATCCGATTGTCCCAAACCCCCCATTGAGTAAAAGAAGAAAACTTGATATGAAGTAGAACGTGTATTCTATACAAGCATCCAGAAAGTACGAGGTCCGAGTCCTAAAGAGGATAACGATCCCGGACTAAGGATCCAGGTCTGGGTCATAAAACGTTATAGATAATGCGTATTTATACAGTTAGGTCGAATAGGAAACAACAATGAAACATATGACATTGACAGTTAGAACGACCAATGGGAAATAACATTGAAGTACGTGACCTTGATAGTTAGGACGACCATAGTATTGACCAGTAGACATTGACCAATAGAATTAGACTTGCAAAAATATTCTGACAATACAAAAATTTGTGTCAAGGAAATGGATTGGTTCGAATGGGGTGATAAGAATGGAAAACATGCTAAGAGTTCATATTTATTTATAAATAATACCATAAAATGAATGATATTTTTACAACTGATCATGTGATTTCTTGTTTTGATTTATTTTCACAGATGGAAGTAAGTTCACTGTGTTTGTCTTATACTTTGATATGATGTAATGAGTTATTGATGTATTGAAATATCTGTAGTACACAATCAACATTCGTCAGGTACACAAGTTATTTATCTGAAGTAATTTTATTGAAATGATAAACTGATCGATGTAAGACCGGTATTCGCAACTTCAAAGCGAATGCAGTACCTACACAAACAATGTTCTTGTTCAACACTTGCATGTGGGAATCGAACCCTGAACCGTGTTCTGTTCTCAGTGTGAATAAAATGAAATTCATGAAATATGATGAGAGAGTAGCGCGATTTAATTTATTTGTTAATATATAAGTTGACTAAATCATACTTAAAGAACGAAAGATTTATTCTATTGTCCCGAGACTCATGAAATTAGATTTATGGCTAGTTTTATATTCAAGATGCAGCATAAATCCGAAGCTTCATGATTTCTATTGATAGTCTGTTTACGATCACTCCATAATTTCATATTGCTAAAATTCTAACATTTCTCCCCGTATATCAGTACCTCAGTCTGGTTTAAATAGTCTCCTAAATTCGTTAGTGTACTTGAGCAAATACATTCAAAGGTGGGAACTACACTATCCGAGATCTGAACGTCAATACATGGTAACTTCTAAAACTGTCTA